GCAAGTGAAGACTTTCGCCGAGTGACCGGAGGCTGACGATTATTGCGGTCAGCTGATCAACAATTAGCGTCAGTCAAACAGCTGATCGTTGAGTTTCAAGTACCATGCACACGCAGTTTTTATTTCCTTAGACAGTGTTGTGCGTATTTCTTTTTAGTTCCTGTTTGTTTTTTCACGATTTTACTTAAACTTTGCAATTTAAATTGCATCTTTTTCAATTACCATTGGAGATTGTGTATCACTGCGTATCACTGGGAATGATGGAGATAAACAGGTTTTAATGATTAAACTGTTAATTCATGACATTGACAAGGACAACGTCTCTTTCCTTAATGCATTACTTATGTACCTTTGATTTTGGTTTACTAATAATTCTATCCTAATTGTGTAACAAGTGTTCATCAAATGTCTCCGTCACTGTGCTGTAAATACAATAAATGTTTAACAAAACAAAAATTTAAATATTACCTTTTTGTAAGTTGGTGCCTTTTTAATATGATTTGAAAACTGAAAACCAGCAGCTGGGACAGCCTTCGGCTATTTGAATAATGAATTATTTGTTACATCTAGTCCATGTTGATAGGATGTCTTTCTTGGTATCTAAACGTCAACGTTACAATAAGTACTGGTAAGCTATTAAGTATTAATTATTATTAGTTTTTTTTATAATGAACGATTGAATCTGGAACACAAACAATTAGGTCATAGTATCAAGCTCCATCTAAACGAGTTTATACACAGCCACCTCTAATATATTGTATTATAGGTGGCTATGGTTTATACGTCCGGTTGTATCAATTCACTTTATAACTTTTACTTACGAATTGGATGTTCATGTAACATTGCAATCAAATTTTAATTTCATTCTCCGCTTGTAGAAGCCAAACAACAAAGTTTGGACCTAAATCACCCTTGACGCACTAAATTAATAAAATTCGTATCCTGTACTTCAATCAAACCCCAACCGTAAATTAACTCGCACATTAGCCTTATTTGGCATTCCCTGTACCAACAGTCATCTGCACGCAAACACACAGTAGTTGCAAACAAATTAGTTTCGCCAATGAAACTAGTTGCCAACTGCCTGAGTTTGCCATGTGTTGTGTTTACTTTTGACAAGTTGGTAAACGTACATCGGCTACTACAGCTGACTGCCAGTTGTGCCAACTTACAACAGCTGTTCTCGGTTCACGAATGTCAGATACACACATTGACCTCAATCTAACTCTGAAGTCACTCCCGCATAGTTGTTTACTCACACGATGATCATAAATGATGAGTGTGTTGCAAAATGTAAAATATGGAACTATGTGAGAAAGGATGAAAACAGTGCACGAAAATGTGTTATGTTAATTTTTGTTTCCGACTTCTCTTTGAGTTGAAATAATAACAATATATAATCATAAATATTGGTTCTTTTTAAGAGTCTTCCTTAGTGGTAGCCATGTTGGATTTCTTCCCCATAAGAACAATGTTAAACATTACATCATTTGTGGACACGTAACGGCGTTATTTGTTAAGATATAACTTTGAAATTTATAATTTGTATTTTTAACATAATAGACTCGTGACTGAGGTTTTTGAATTTCGAAAATCCATTTTCATTTCCTTTCAATAATTAGCTTAATTTTAAGATAATTAATAATCAATTATTCATTATAAAAATTAAAAATTGTGAAATAAAAAACGTCAATCTCTAGAGGACCGCAATTCCTTAAATTTAACTCCTTATCCATAATTATATGACAATTTGCTGATGAGATATTTGGACCCAAAGTTAACATTGTTCTTATGGGGAAGAAATCCAACATGGCTTCCACTAAGGAAGACTCTTATAAGACATCCACCACTTTTAATATTTTCCTTATTCATATGAAGGTGATGTAAACTAACCTAACCCAACCCAACCCAACCTAACCTAACCTAACCTATTCAACCCGACCTACCCTTACCCAAAACTTACCTTAACCAACCTAATTTTATCCAACCTAACCTAACATTACTTAACCTAACCTAACATTACCCAATCTAACCTAACCCAACCTAACCTTTCCTAACCCTACCTAACTTAACTTACGTTACAGTAGAGAAATATTTTAATAGGAAGTAATTTACATTATTTTTAAGTTTTTCGTTCATCCAGTATTAACATGAGAGACAAAAGTACCATCTTCTGATGTTAAAACACTCACTCCTTTAAGTGTAACATCGTCAAGCAATTGTTAACCTTGTGGTGCTCTTAGAATGTTCTCAAAGGAAGTTGTTTGATCTATTTTAAACTCAAAGTGTAGCTTAAACTGTTTAGCGTCTTGCAACTTGCTAAACGTACAACAACGGAAGTATTGTACACTACAAAGCATGGTTCGTGACTCGGTTAGGTAGGTACCTCTTCTTAACGTTAATTGGATGGATATGCATCATGTGCTTCCATGTTTACCTGTCCGTCGAGGCAGTATTGTATTGCTAACATATCGTGGTAAACTAAACCCTACCGGCATTAATTTTGTATACTGTATTTGGTTATCAAATCTTTGTGAGAAAAATTGTAATTTAGACTTATCTGACTGAGAAATTGTCGAAATTGTATGGGACCGACATAGGTATTCTTAAAGAGTAGTTCAGGTTAAAGGAATCGCCAATTTTTGTTATATATTTCATCCAAATTTGACGACTTTATTAAAATAGGGTTTAGTAGTCGTCTAAGACTGACTACGTTGAGGGTATGATTTTTATATAGCTGAAGTAAGTAGAGGAAACTAAAGTGTATAGCCGATACAATATTAATCGATCTAGTATTTTACTAGTGGCACAGACTATAGTCCATTAGCCCACTGATTAACCATTGATGGTCTATTGTCTGTGCTAGTAGTTAAAAGATTGGGGAGCGAACTGGTCTAGTGGCAGAGGGCAGGGCTTCAGAGCCTGAGGCCCCGGGTTCAAAACCCGCCAATCACCAATGGATTTTATCCATGTGATAATGCCGCAACCCGCTTGGATTAGCCTGATGTTATGTGTAAAACAGTTCCGGGGTAGAAGCCACCGCCCTAGAACCTAGGATGTTGAATTGGGACATAAAAAAGTAGCTAAACGATTCAGGCATGTTAACGTTAAGAAAATTCTATTCTTAGGCATTTCTTTAGAATTTGCAAGTGTGTGTGCATATTTTGGTGTACGTCGCAATTAGCTTCCAAAGAGTTCGATCTTGTCAGCACAGAGAAATTATTATAGATAAATGTTCGTGAAGTGGACAAACTGTATGAAAATCCTGCCACAAAGTGACAAGTTTGTATTATGTAGCTTAAAACTCCTTTGGGAACTGTCCTAAGTGAGGGCTATCCTAAGGAGTGCTAATTATTCCCTTTTCAGACATTTTTTTGTGATCTTAAACCTTTCCTCAATTTTGGAACCTTCAATCATGTTCTCTACCCCTTCTTCTTTTGTTATGTTACATCACCATGTCCAATATACCTAATTAATGCTGACTCCACCCTCTATTGATATAAAGGATACGTATAGGCGTGTCTAGTAGATAACAATACAATGCCATTATAACAAACAGGTAATCAATTTATGACCACAAGTTCATCCCTGTAGAGTCATCCATGGTATTATGTGCTGACATAGTTGACGGGTAAATGCATTTTCTTTGTTATTTGCCTATAGCTGGATCGTAATTTCAATATACATTCTGCGTTATTAAAATAATAATAAGTGTTTAAATAATAATAATAATAATAAGTGTTTCTATGGAACTCTAAAATAAGTTTATTTACTGATGATTCTTAAATTAAAATACTTTAGTGGGTCTATTCTAAAAGTGGACGACCACTACCAACTTTATCCCTATGCAAGTCTGGTAGGGTAGGTTAAATGAGGTTGAAGCTAGATTATGTTTTATTAGTTTACATAATCTTAATTTGCATTAGACAAATGTTAACGAAGCTTGAAGCCCTCTTCTTGAAAAGATCAAATCTTTTTACAATGGACCCAATTTATAATGGCAAAAAATGTTGGACACAAAAGAAGAGAACAGTATGTTATCGGGCGTATGTTAACCTTCTTTATCACGACCTCAAAATGGCGCGAGTTGCTTATCAGCGTTATCAAAGCTTTCCTCCACGTGAATTCAAATCTCACAGCTTTGTCTTTGCCCTCTTGTGATTGTGGTATAAAAACTTGACAGCTTGAAACGGATTCTGTCAAGAGCTTTCAGATTGTTGAGAGGTAGCAAAGTCCACGAGTTTAAACTATAGGTCATTCATGCTTTTTGCTTTGAAAATCTGTTATAAAAAATACTATTAAGTTTTACAGTATAATTTGTAATGAATTCTGAATGTTAACATGTGTATGGAGTTACTTTTAAGTAACCACACGAACAAATTATTATTTTTATAAATTTATTTACAAACATCCATGAACAAAACCGATTTTCATGTCGTGTAAAGTCAAGGTTAAATTACGTAACTTATCATTTAATTGCCATTAGTTCAACATATGTATTAAACATGCTTTACCTGAAAATCCCCTTTTGTTGCGATTGTTGACGTAACACCTAAATATCCAATTGAGGAAACGCTAATTAAACCGAGTTATTGAAAACATATCATGTTATAAATATAGTTTTTTTATAGTAAGCTAGACATGCTTCATTGAAATTTATCTAGCAGTATTCGTAGTCTACCAGATGTTCATTAATTAATTAAAATCACATATGATCTATTTAACATTTTGTCGTTTAAAAGTTTTGTTTTCATTTTCAAAATTCGTGATTTTATGTCGATTTAGATTTAAACTTAAGAAGTGAACTAACTGTAAGATCATGTTCTGCGGGAATATTCAATTTCGGTGTCAAGTTTTCTGTTACTCGTGAATCTTATGTAATACGTTTGACTTATTGAAGACACATCTTTGATAGACCTTTTTAGAAGTAGCCTACCACATAATAATTGTCTCGTCTTTTATTCCGTGGTTGGCAATACTTACCTCCCCCTACTTTACAGAGGTGTGTGGAGTGTGTGATGAAGGCGCACGTTATCAGGCAGGGATTGTTGCGCGGCTGAAGGTCACTGTAGAGAGCGCGAGACGCTCAGTGTAGAGGCAGCGCGCGAGCCGTGTGGTGTGTGATGGTGCGCGTGTGCGAGTGACGATGGAAGCAACGGCGACGATGCCACCTGTAGAACTGGCTCCACAGCCACCCGAGGTGAAAACAGTGGATACCAACGAGAAGACAGTGGACAACACTGTGGCGTTTCTTCAACAGGAGATGACGGCTAGCAGCGTTGACGTAAATGGTGAAGTGGAAGAGGAAGATGGACAAGTGACAGAGGTGACAAAGATAGAGTGTGAAACCTCTGAGAATGGGCTAAATGAATCTGGTGACGCGAATGACGTGGACGATACGATTGAAAACGATGAACTAGCTCCTATGAAATACAACGAGAACGAACAAGTTTGGGTGAAACTCGACGAACAAGTTAATACCGAAGTACTCGAAAACGCACAAGAAAGTGAACTAAAGGTCATTGTTGAAGAAATGGACAGTTTAGTTATTGTCGAGGGCGAGAATCAGACCGAGCAATCCACTGAAGCGGAAATAGACCAGCCTCTGAAATTGGAACTGCACATAAGCGAATCCGACCTGGTGGATAAACCTGATGAGCCGAACGACGGGTTACACATTGAAACAGAAGCGAATGCGAAGGAGACGTACTCGTGTCAGAGTTCCCCTGGGTACATCAAACCCCCGGTCAGATCGACAATTATAAAACAGAGATCACTCGACACTCAAGGTGCATCTGACGATGAGGGAGAGATGGGACGTTCGAAAAGAGGTAGTTTGCACTCACCGTCGTCGAAAATCTTGACAAAAATGACCCCGATGACGTGGGACCAGTGGATGAAAAGACCTGCTTCTTACGTTCCGCCCAAATCCCCCGAGAAAGACGCTAAACCTACCTCTCCTACTACGGAAGTCGATGGGAAAGAAGAAATCAAAGAGACAAAGGAGGAAACAAAGAAGGGTGAAAGTCCTAAAGTGAAGAAGACGAGGTTTCAAATCACCCCTTCGAGCGCTGACGTCCTCGAAATCAACCGCGACGAACCAAAGGTCTTGGAAACCTTTGACGAGACCGAAGAAGACAAATTTCTGTTGGAAAACCCCAACGTGCTGGTGGAGAGCCACCTGAACGAACTGACGATGGTGGAGTCGCAGCTGAAGAAACTGGGGGCTGCCGCGAAAGTGGGGGTGTGTACGAAGAGGTTGGGTCAGCCGGAGCCCGACCAGAAGTCCATGGGTAGGGCGAGTTCCGGGGATCAGAAGAGTAAAGGGTGGTTGGCGTGGTTGTCAGTGTTCACAAAGAAGCCTCCTCCGCCATCGCCTCCGGTCAAGAAGCAGCCTGCCAGGAGACCTTGTCCGCAACACTCCAAAACTGCGGCTCGTCCTAGACCCGCAGGACCCATCCTGGCCAACTACGACCCCAAGATGGTGACCGTTATTGAGGTACAGTAAAAATATGTAGCATGATGTGTGTGTGTAGTAATTGGCATTGCTTGTGTATGCAGTTAAAGAGAAATCGTTTCTTAGATGTCTTAAATAAGCCAACCTTTTTGCTGGACGAGCTTTTTCATTTTTAATAGCTGAAAAGGTGAGAAGATATACGACGATACGACTAAGCGATGAACTAGCGTAAAATCAAGGTCGATTGCTGTTAGTTGCTTCATCGTGGAATGTTATTATCTCTTCCCACTTTGTAATTAGTGGCAGAATTTCATTAGTTGGAATTTCATTTAGTGCACTTTCATGCTCATTTTTGAAACCGTCACTAAATGCTAATCCTAATATACCACAACGATGGAGAATATTAGGTCGCTTGCTGTTTCTAGTTACTTAGTAATCAAGTTTAAGCTAATAACGTTTATTATCCATCAGTTTCAACATAACCAGTTTTCTGAACCCATAGTGGAACGTTGCAATTTAACAACAAAAGCCTATGCGTAACACTTTTGCCGAACTAGCGTGTTTTATGGTCCATTTGTTGTGGCTTGCGGTAAGTGGCTTTTTGTAGATTTCCTTCAATGTAACCTGTTCAGTCCACTTGGCACAATGAAGAGAAAGCTACCCGAAGCCTTGGGTTATACAATGACATAATCGCCGAATACGGTATTGGGTCGCCAAGTCACTGACACAGTAAACGTGCCTTTGCTACGACCTTGGGAGGTCGTTATGCTGTATTGGTAAACAAATAGAACACAGGTGAATGGATTCCGAGTAGTAAACACATTTTAAATTCGTTTCAAAAAGAAGATTTTCAGTGTTGAAACAGCTTGATTCTATTCATATTAATTTGAGATGGGGAGGCCATCCATGTGCGTCTTTGAGCCCAAATAGGAGTGAAGGATAAGTGTATATTAGAATGGAGTGGGATGCCTTGTGTAGCTTTGTTACTGACTAAGACCAGCTGTTTCATTAGTAGGGACCATTAATTCAGCCTAGTGAAAACCATCATTGATTTGATTAGTGGAAAAAAAATCATTGATTGTAATATTTCAAACCCTTTTGTCACGGACGCTATATTGGTTTATCGGTAGGTATGAATTTGTCTTAAGATTCAACGCGTTTTGGACTGTTTACGAATGGATTATCAAAGCGAGCAAGGATATTCCATAGGGGTTTATCGATAGTTTTGGAATTCGTCCAAAAGTTCAACGCGATTTGGACTTTTAATATCAATAAATATAAATATCAAAGCGAGTGTGGTCGGTTTTCCGTATCTACACAATCCTGCTGTGGCTTTTTGCAACAGAAAGAGGCACGCGACTGACCAAACCAGTCAGATCAACCTTGGAGGAGTTGGAGTTGAAGTTGGCATTTCTCCCCCCCCCCCAACACCACCCACTCAACTCTCGCAGTAAACCCTGTGATAAATTTGTTGTATCGTACAGTAGACTGGCGTTTCTGGCTGTTTGTTAGGCTGACCAAACAGTTACAGTACTCAGTTTCCCCCAACCGCTTTTCGGTTTCCATAATTTACGAATCTCAATCGTAAGCCTTTGGAAAGGAGTGAGTTTGTTTTCAACTTCTAATAGTGGCATGTGATCACAAGGCATACAATTTGGTTGTTTGCTTTCCGATCTTGGCTAATTGGTCCTAATGAATTTTGAACCAAGCGTAGCTTCTGATTGAAACCAGTATTATTCGGATTTGATGTCGATCCACATACCACAAGAGTGGTTTAAACCATCACAATTCCTTTTGGTCTTCACATTCACCTAATGCCATATGTTTATATCATGTTAGATATCCCAGAATCTAACATGTCACAGATGTGTTAACTGCTCAATATTGTATACTATTCTATGAGGCAACTCGTTAGTACAGTACTGTTCTATATTCCCATGTACAGCGCTCAAGTTGGCTTGCGATATAGCGGGTGATATGAGGAAGTAACTGGCCATAACGGTCTGCATGCAGTAAATTTGTAGACCATAACCAACATTATTGAGGTGCGTTGCAGGGTTTCATCAAAGGCGGAATAGCTGAAATTCGCTTAACAAGAATAAAGTGAGATCCCCTGTAGTTTTTTTGTGTCACATTAGATGTTCATATTTTTCTTAAATATGCCCCTAATGGCAATTTTTTAAACCGAGCGTACTACTGTATGTTTGTAAGGACAGCAATGGGCAATAGTTTTCAAATTAAATGAACGGTATTATCAATGTGACGCATACTTTCTCAAATTCGCTTGTCAGAAACCCGGTACCATGGTTAGGCGGTGAAAGTAACTATTTAATTAAATCTTTTTAACCATGTAGTGTTTACGGCATTTGGGGTTGTACAATTTTGTTTGGACTTAAAAGGACCATACAATACTTAATTTCAAAATCGTACAAGCCGTTTCGTGAAAATACCAGTTTTCATGTTTATGGGAGTTAATGGTAAAATTTGCCATTAAAATTAAATGTATAAAAACCGAAAAAGATGTCTGGAGTCACTATATTTTCTAGTACCCACATACATAATTTAATAAAACTCAAACCACAGATGTAATTTTTACAGGACAATTTTTCCGCAGGACTACTTTTTCCTGTTCAGGGGGCCCAAAAAGGCTGTTACTTTACAAAGCGGAAAGTCTAAAATATTAATGAAAAATCGTGTTAAAATATCCATCAGGTTACTCAATAAAGAATTCCTATACTGTTTTCTGGCCAAATATTTAATCACACAAAAGATATAGGCTAGTTTTAGACAGTATACAGTATAGGTAACCTATACACTGCGGTTACATTGGTAAATTGGTCATATGTGTTTATTACACCCAACCGGAAACAACACCATAGTCACAGACTACGGAAACATATTAGGGGCCGCCTACAGTATTATATTGTTGTGGCATAGTGCTGAGCTGGTACTTTGCATCTTTGAGCTAGTTAGATTATTAATAGACGCAACCAGTTATAAGTTAGACGTGTCGTAACGTTGTAAGCTTGTTTTGACATTGCGATATTATGCAAATATTCAAATTATATTCATGCCAACAATGCTGTTCTTGATCTATTTTTTGTGATTCCAAGGAAAGAGGCGAGTTAACTTAAACAATTGAGTATAAACATAACCATTGTAGGATATTGGATTTGCTAAATTAATATTTAGATTAAATTTTGTAAAAATTAGCAAGACTTCGTTCGTAAGTTATGTTTATACTCAATGCTTAAACTCTTATAAGTTTTTTCTTCGATTCAAGCTCTCAAAAGATTTGAAATGTTTAATCACATCTAACATTGTCAAAATGGTCTTAACGTACTTAACGTACTGTATTATCAGCTCTACTTATAACTGCTTTGTAAACTCTTATCTAACTATTAATTACAACCATGTTAATAACCATGGTAAAGGCGCACGATGTACAGATAAAGTTGGAAAAACTGCATACAGTACCTGTCTTTCCTACAAGGAGAACATACCATTGTAAATCGTAATTGTGTAAACGGCAATATCTCATAAGAGAAAATGTACAAAACTAAATCAAAGTCGTTGACCCGAATTTTGTTTAATCTTAGTAAATAATAGGCAACAAGGGAAATGCTATTTTTCACTACTAATTACAATAGCTTCTTCCCTGAAGGGAAATTTGCTGATAAATTATCTTTCATTTTCAATGCTTTTCTTTCAACAATTATGTATTAGATAAGTATTTTTTATAATGAAAACAATGAATTTTGTATGTCATACATTGCTAGTAATTGTAAACCATTAAGTGAATGGATTTGTTTTCTCTGTGGATAATTGAAATCAAAGTTTTGTTTGTGATAACATTTTTGTGACTAAGCGTACAGCGTACAAAGTTCGTATAAACTATTGATCTATAACGTCATTTAAAATCTGTCGAGACCTCTAGCCCTAGAACAGTCCCCTTTAAATCGTAACATACAATTAAAAAAGGACGTTCCTTTTCTAAATGTAAATATACCCCAGTTTTAAAGTTTGTTTTACTTTGTGAAAAATTCAAATCTAAGATAACAGCAAGTCAACCTTAATGTGGGTTTTGATGGATTTTCAATATATCATTAGTACTTTAGTGAAATATTTCATCTTACAAGGTAGGTTAAACTTGTCACTTAGTCAACTTGAACCTTGCACGTATGACACAGCTACAACACTATGGTGTAGAACAGTTGTTAGTCGGCCTTGAAGTTTTAATTGATGTTCTCATTCATACTCATTATTGCTACAAGGTCGGTTAATATCATTAATTACTTACACTACACTTGTGTTGTATTTTGCTAGCCTACATGTCCCCGGTACAGAATAGTATTTGTAAAAGCTTGGGTCCAAGTGTCTTCTACTCGATAATTGCTAGAACAACAGTTTAATGAACCATGTAATTGGGCCTCTTAACAACAATTGGCTTCTTGGAACAGCGATCAATTGGATTTTCCTGCATGCTTGGTGTCTAGGTGTAGGTTTTGAACTCTTAAAGCTTAGTTTTAAATCCAAATTGCGTTTTAGCTTAAGATTGTCCGAAGAGTTGAAGAATTCTATTGCAAAACATTAATCTCCTTTGTCCACTATCACGTATTAGTTTTCCTTTTTAAATATTTATAATCGAAGACAAACTAGTGTTTTAGCTCGTGTATAATTTGAAATGAATTTCTTAAGACTGTTAATCTGCAGCTATTCAGTAAAAATAAATAGAATAAAATATTGTTATTGTAGTATTTCACACCTATAAAACAATTATAAGAATATACAAAATTATATTGCGTTGTTCCTAGTTTTTCCTGCTATATGTTATTCAAGACAGGTGCAATTAGCCAAAAAATTGTGGAATGATTTGCTAAGTTAATATTTAGACTTCGTTCGATGTACAGTAAAGTATATATGTCATCGAAATTAAACGGTATTATTTTCATATTCCAACCAAAATCTACGACTACTAAGTTTGAAGACCCAATCACATGAAGATTTTCAATATTTTTTTATACTTTTGGTCCGACTCTAGC